GGTGTCCTGTCAATGTAAACCAGTCAGTGACAGATCCATGTGCTGTGAGGTCACCATAACCCCACTGCCTTTGAACTATTATTTTCAGAGCACTTTGTGGTGACACACAGCAGCCTGCTCCCCTTCCTTGATCCCTCCCACACACCCCATTATGTTCCTCTCCGTGTCAGGAGCTAAATGAAAAGCTAAATTCAGGCATGAATCTGCTACTGTAGTGTACAAGACACGTCTCTAATAGGATGGTATTCAAGGGACAGCTGACAGGAAAATAAGTGACTAAAAGAAATGATTAGAAAACACAGGTTTTCTGAGGAAAACTGCGGTCTTGAAGGAAATAAAGCAGCTTTACTGGGCAATTGTGACCTTTTGTTTGTTTTAGGCTTTGAACCAGAAACATACTGGGACCGTATGCACCTCCTTCAGGAAGCAATAGCACACAGGTATGTAGAGAGCAGAGTGACTGAAAGGTTCCTGTCTCCCTGGATGATGCAGGGGAAGATCTCTGCTGAACAGTCACTCCTGAGTCGTGTGGGTTCTGTGCTGTCTGCCTCTCTGAAGTCTGCTTGCAGATTATTAGACAAAAATATAACTAGAATGCCTGGAGGTGGCTCTGTGGGTGCAAGGGGCAGGTAGATAGTGTTTCAGCCTGTCACTCATTAGTAAACCATACTCTCCTCCTAGGGAGGGCACGGCCTTTGGAAGGTGCCCTGTTATTTTAAGTTAGAAGCAGACAGTCTGTAAATAGATTCCTTTCTGAGAAGGGATAGTTATTTGCTTCATGTGTACTTAACCAGTCTTGATCTGGATGACAACCAATGATTGACAATAGGCAGGAGACTGGGATGTGAACTGGATACCAGGAGGTTTTGCCTGGTTTAAGAAGGAATTATTGGAAACTTAGAAGGAGAACAGTTGCTGAAAGGAAATACTGCTGCTTATGTCTAGTGTGGTAATGAATGCTCAAAGTTCAGCAGTATCCCGAACTTCCAGCCTCCAGTTGAAGATCTAGAACTGTCATGCAGCATGAGCAGGAGCTTAGCCCCCTTTGTGTGCTTGAGCTGCTAGTTTGTATCATGGTATTGCTGCCAAGGTCTTTTTTATGGCAGAGAAACTGCCTTTTGTAATGGACTTTAGCTTGGAAATAAGCTTTCATTAGCTTAGAAAGCAGGAGAGGAGCAGGTATTCTACAAACAGCAAAGAACGATCAGGTGAGCTGCTTGAAGTTCTGCGTGGAATATTGCTTGGCACGAAAGAAAATGATGTTACAGCTTGAAACATGCCCAAGGAATGTCAGTCTTGGCTGTCACTGTTCCCTCATCTGTGTGCAGCTGCCCTGTTTCGTCAGAGACTGCTCAGTGCCCTCCCAGACTGAGCTACTGGTGCTCTTGCTTCCGGCAGGAGTTAGAACAGGGATCAGTGTGCAGTTACAGGCTTTCACACAGTGCCTGGCAGGGTGGAGGGGATTTGGAGAAGCCCAGCTCTCTTCATCCCTTTTCCCCTTGCCTTCAGGCCATAAGGGGGCCTTTGTGACAGGGAAGGTTGACCCTACCTTGGGCTGAAGGAATCCTAGCTGGAGTGACTCTTTTACACACATATATATATATGTGTGTGTGTGTGTGTGTGTGTGTTTAAAATATTTTTTTCATTCTCCTGGTGTTTGTTCTCCAGATTTGGATTTGTGCAAGATAAATACTCGGCCTCTGCATTCAACTTCCCAGCTGAGAACAAGCCCCAGTATATCCATGTCACAGGTGAGCAATGTTTGGCAGTTGCTGGGGTAAGGAGGAGGCTGCTATAAACAGAAGAACTATTTTACATGCTGTTTGTGTTTCATGCTAGTGATTTGGTCCTCATTATGTCCCTGGTCACATGACAAGTAGGTGTATCAGCCAAATCAAACCAGAGAGGTGATGTGGAAAGGGCAAGGTGTTGCTGCTCATCAATGGCGTTGGTTTGAAGTCTTGCTTTATAGTGTCTCTGAAACATTTCTTTCCAGGAGATGGAAAAATAAAAAAGGCAAAACTTGTTCCAAGTGCAGTGTAAATAAATGGGTATCTAGAAGCTGGAAGGAGGGAAAGGTGTTGGGACAGGTCAGTGCTCTGTTCTCATGCTTAAGGTCAGTTGTAGATGCATCTCTACTAATGTATACTGGGGGGAAGACAGAGAAAGCATTTGCTTTCATTATTGTTCTTCATAAACGTTGATCTATCAGCACTTCTAACTAAGCTCCATGCATGGCATATTACAGTAAAACAACAGTGTTTTCAGAGGGGTTGCTGATGCATGAAAACAATGATGGGAAGAGACCTTTTGGAAAATTACAGGAGACATGGAAATTGATGTAAAGTTAGAAAATGGATTGGAGCCTGCATCTTTGCTTCATTCCTGTCTACCACGAGGAAGGCAAGACTCTCTGTGTTGTAAATTGCAGGAAGACATAGCACATAAAAGCAAAGGAGGAGAAGTGTATCCCATTTTCTCTTCCTAAGAGGCAATTAAACAACGCTCAGTTCAGTTTCTTTTCCAGAATTTAATGAGTCAGCTACAAGGTGCAGGGCCTTAGTTTGGCTGAAGAGTAACGTCCTGTCTGTTTCCCCCAGGGACAGTGTTTTTGCAGCTCCCATATTCCAAGCGGAAGTTTTCTTGCGGGCAGCAGCGTCGCCGGCGCAACTCCACGAGCTCCACCAACCAGAACATGTTTTGTGAGGAGCGCATTGGCTACAACTGGGCCTACAACACCATGCTGACGAAAACGTGGCGCTCCAGTGCCACTGGGGATGAGAAGTTTGCTGACCGGTTGCTGAAAGACTTCACAGACTTCTGCTGGAACAAAGACAGCCGGCTTGTTCTGTTCTGGACTGATTGTCTGGATAAGATGCATGCGAGCGCTCCGTGAAATAGGGGTGTATCTCTTAGGGAGACAGCTAGAAGTTTTACCTTGTGGCAAGGAAGTAAAGGTGAAGGATGACTGGAAAAGAGCCTCTGTTAGATTCATCTTGAGGCTCGAAGTGGACCTGATCAATATTGCTGTTGATATTCAACAGAACTTGATTAAGCCCTTGGAAAAAGAATCTGAGCTGTTGGCTTGCCAGTATCTGTCACCTGACCTCAGCTTGGTTTCAAGTAGCTGCAGTCCTTGATTGCCAAAATTTGTATTAGAGCAGAGGTAAAGAGAGTGCAAATGGTTTTCAAGGGTGCTCAGATTCAGCCCAGTGTGATGGTAGTAGCTTACCGTCGTTGGAAGTGATTGGTATCTGATGTGCCTGGCAGCAGCCTGCCTCTTTCCCTTTTGAGGTGTACCTGATTGTGTGAATATGTAAGATAAAATGTGAGAGACACTTGTTAAGTTTCATACGTGTAAATAAGTAAAAATGCAGAAAATCAAGTAACATGATGTTTTGTTTTAACTGCAGACAGCAGCACCAAATCAGGGAGGAAAGGAGAATAATTGCCAAAAGGAAATACTGCTGCTTATGTCTAGTGTGGTAATGGAATGCTCAAAGTTCAGCAGTATCTAGGACTTTCTGCCTTCAGCTGTGTATCTCGAACAGTGTCATGCAGCAGGAGCAAGAAGGCAGTTACTGTCATGCAAGGCCAGCTTCCAAGTGTAAGGAGAAATCAAGGACAATTGAACACAAGATGCTGCTGATGGGGGTAACAGAAAGGATTCTGAGCAGACTTTTAGGATGCATCTGCATGTAGCAAAAGGAAGATGCCTCCACTCCAGTGTGTAGCCTTTGTCTTTGCAGAGCAAGGTCAGGTATGGCACATGGACTTGGGATGAGCTGGTTGCTCAAGTGTGGGTTAAGGGTGGGTTCACATCCGCCCCTGGTAGCGCTGTGCACTGGGGCTTTTGACTCGCTCTGAGACCCTCAGTGTTGTTACCTGGCCTCGGTACGCTGAGGGCAGCAGAGGGCGGGCATACAGCGGTGTTTGGACCTGATTGAAGGAAAAATCGTAGCTGCTTCAGTTTTATCCCCTACATTGAGGCTGGGTGACTGATGTGCTGTTAGGCAGTACCCTCCTGGAGAAGGTGGGTAGCGGTGCGTGTCTGAGCCCCGTTAGCATCTTAGCACGTAGTCTCTCCTACAAACCCCCTCCCTTTGCTGCCCTCTCCGCTGGGTTCTGCGGTGCAGGTGGCCGCAGCAGCGTGGTGGAGCGGCCGGACGGGGCGGGAGCAGCTCCGCACCCCCTGCTGGGCAGCGGCACCTAAGGTGGGGGCCAGGCGGGGCTGGGCTGGGCTGGGCTGGATCCCGCGGGGCGGAAGGAGGGAGGGAGGCAGGGGGAGGCCCACCCGAGCCCCGCCGTTCTCCTCCGGGCACCGACGGGACAGGGACCAGGACCAGGAGGGCTCTGGCGCGGCCGCTGCCTCGGGAAGAGCCAGAACGGGACGGGGCTGCCGGGGTGAGCCCGGTCCTCAACCTCGCAGGTATCTACCAGCTTTTCCTCCCTTTGTCCGGCGGGGCTGGAGCGGTTCAGGGGTTGGGAGGGGACCCGGCGGGCACGGGCATCCTTTCCCCGGGGCGAACACGAGCTCCGGCACCCATTGGAGTCAGGCCTTGCTGTAAGTGCCGCCTGCCCCTGTCCTGTGCCGTTTCGGAGGAGAAAGCTCATTAATTTCACTCGAGTGTCTCTAGACTTTGGTAGTTTTTAACCTGTTCCCGTGGTGAGCTGGGTATGGAGGTTTGGGCTCTGAGTGGCCTGGGCAATGCTGGCGCTTCTGCAGCACCTCCGGTGCTCCCAGCCACTCAGGGGCTCAAGCGGGAACGGCTGGGCCCACCCCCGTGTGCAGTTCCCCCTTCAGCCACCGAGTTTTGGGGTGAGTTTGATGTGTCTTTCTGAGCTCAGTTTTCCCAGCCACAGGCCTGGGGTGGCTTTAGCCTTTCAGGCTGCTGTAGGCCTAGTTGTGAGTGTTCTGAGATCCTCAGACTGCTTTTAACAGCACAGTGAATTTCTTCCCTTTATTAAAAAAAACCCAAAAACAACCAAACACCAAAAACCCCAAGCATACCATGGAAGCTAAAAATAGGAGATAATAGTTTTTATCTAACCACAACTCACAACTTTGTGCATTGCATAGAAAAATCTTTCAACAGGACATAAGGATGAAGCGGTTCATGGCCATGTTAAACAGGAATAAAAACAAGGATCCCCCACCTGCCAAGCTGCTGGATCTAGCAGGACAGCTTTGCCAGGATCTCCAGAGCTCATTTCCCAGTCTGGAGAAGCTGGTTGGGACCATGATGGGATGCAAGCACAAGATGTATTTTCTCACTAACATCCATGTTGTCCAAGCTTGTGTGTTTGTTCATATCCAGAAAGGGCAGCATGACACAGCCTGCAGACTGCTGGAGGTAGGGATGTGTTCTTTGTTTCTTCATGCAGGCAAAAGCAATATTAGAAGAACAGCAGTTAGAGCTGTTAGTGCAGAAGTATCCAAACTGCAGGACATGGAGTGTTTCCAGCTGGCATTCAGCAGCAGGTGGTGATAGGTGTGCATTGGTTGACCTGAAATGCAGGATAAAGACTGCTACAGGCAGTTACTGTTAATCAGCCAAGGGGCAGAATGTAACTGGGTGACTATGGGGTTGGCTGTAGTTTGTGAAAGCAGGATTTTTGTTCTCTAATGGGATGGTTCTTCGAGTTTTTCACAAATTCAGGGCTCAGGATGTAAAAGCCTTGGGGAAGCCAGGTCTAGAGGGCTTCCAGGATGGGAAGATAAGGCTGGCTGGTACCACTCAAGGGGAGGAATTTTGGCCTCTAGATCTAGTAATGTAGCCCTTTTCACCAGGGAAAAAGAGGGAATTAGGCAACTCCTGTACATTAGAGGAAATACAGGGATCCATACACTTGGATAAAGCTACCAGCTTTGTCAGGCTAGTAGGAATCTCTGAGTAAATTTCTGGCTATTGAGGGTTTTCTCCTTTACAGGAGGCCTGGCTGACTACCTGGAGAGAGTTTGCTTACATGCTGTTTTGGTTTTAGTATAGCAAGGCAGAACAGAAGGAGAAGCTGGTGCAACTTTGGCATGAGATTCACTACCGGAGGGTGATGGAGCAACACCACACAGATTTTCTGACACCACTGCAGAAGTTCCGTTGCAGGAAGAGGTACCATGGTGTGGGGGAATGGATTTAGTTTTCTTTGCTGTATCTGAGAGATGCAGGGGGTAGAGATGCAGAGGCTGGTTTTGCACCTCTGGATGCTGCTTCTCAGAGCAAGGTGGTTCTTGACTTTTTGACCACTTGTGGCAATGTGAATGAGACTTTCGGGGTTAGTTTTTAATCCTGTTTTCTCCTGTGTACAGGAATCCTCCACCTATTTCCCTTTGTCCTGAAGGTTTGAAGAATCGAAACCATTCAGATGAAGTGCGCCAGCAACTGCACAGGTTTGCTGCAGAGGTGACAACAAATCCAAACAAGAAACAGCGGGTAGGGATATGCTACTTCTAACCAATTCTCCTTGTCACAGAGAAGCAGAACTCTGTGATCCAGGGGTCTAGAACTGATTTCATTCGAAATCTCTGTTTTCTAAAGCCCCAGTGGGGCTGGGGTTCCCCAGACTTGATCTTTTCCTGAAGGTTCCTTAAAAGAATCATCGGGTTCATGCTAAGTAATCTCACTTGCTTTGGACAAAAAGATCAGGAGATACAAAGTTCCTCACTGAGGTTCTAACAGTTCTAATTTGGTAGTGGTTCAGCATAGGCAGCAAAACAGCCATCACTCAGAAAGGCTGTATTAGAGTGATAAATAGTTCTGACTTGAGTGAGTTATAGCCTGTATTAAATTGCTTTTTGCTTACCAGAATATATTTTATACTGCCTTATCACATTAAATTCACAGAATTTGAAAACGTGATAGGTTGTGTTCATGTCTGCATCTGTCTTCCTTATTTGAACAAGGATAAATCTGTAATGGAAGTGACATGTGAATTAATTCAGTAATCCTTGTTGATTACTACCTCACAGGGTGAAGGCTTCAGACTGTCAAGTCTGTCTCTGTGGTGCTCAGGTTTTCCAGCAGCCTTCTCACATAAGGCAGGATGGCTTGGTGAACAGCTCTGCAGTGTGGAGTTGGTTTATTTCTTACCCTGTTCACAAAGCAGCAACAACTTCCAAATGTTCATTAAAAAAGCCCCCCACAATCTGGTTTGGGAGCATAATGAAGCTGCACAGTTAAGTCCTAAAAGGTCAGGATACAATGATCACTTATGCATAAATTTCCCAATACATTCTTCACTTACGTGATCTCATTCTTTAGCAGTTTAATACAGCAGACATTTTTCTGTGAATGTGATACAGATGTTTATGCTGCTTACAGTTTGTGAAAACTCTGTAATGTGGTAAACACATTAGTGTTCATCCTACTAGTGTCATGGTAGTGATGCGAAGCTGTCATTCTGCGAGAAGAGCATGCTTTGGTCAGGTTTTCCATTCAAATATAGCAGTATAAAATGGCAGTAGATGGGGTTGTTTTGGTTGTGTTGGTTATTTTTTAGCAGACAAATTGAGTAGGGGAGCAGGGGGGAATGTGCGTATTCCAACAACTCTTGAGTTTACAAATCAGTCTCCTCAATGGGGTCCACTTGTCAGAGCCTTAGTGATCAAATGTCTCTGGGTTTGAAGGCTCTTTTGCTCTGTTGCTTTTGGAACTGGAAAAAAAACACAACAAAGGCTGATTATTTGGATGTGGTTTATTCTTTCTCCATTGCTCTCTCCCTGCACATGGGTTTGCAGGAGGGACTGGCTCGGGACATGAACCTGCAGCCAACTCAGGTCTACAACTGGTTTGCAAATTACCGACGGCGTAAAAAATCCAGCCTCTCTCGGATGGAAAAGCAAAACAGCTCATGTGCTGAGAGGGCTCTGGCTTATCCCACAGTGCAGCAGCAGGACAGAGGATTCTATGCTCCGCAGAATGCAGGTTTGTTTCTTGCTAATGGGCTTAGGATGTGATCCAGAAAGCTGAAAACCTATTTTAAATTCCCTCAGGAAAGGAAGGGTATTCCTTTTCCAGAACAGCATCTATATGCTGATGGATCAAGTGGACATGGAAGAGATCTTCTTCAGTGGAGTGCCTCATTGTTTGTCTAGAGGCTGTCACTCACAGAAGAAGCAAACATTGATAAGGCCTGTGCAAGGACAGGCTAACAGAGGTGCCCACCTCAGAAGGGGCACAGAAAGCAAATACCTGCAAGGCAGTAGGTTTTAGCGCTCAGATCCTGGGATCAGGGATGTAGTCCAGTAAAACCCAGTATTGCCATGCCCCTTCACAGAATCTTGACCAAATATCAGTCAGGGAGTGTAAGAGGGTCTTGCTGCATTTGGCAAATCAGACTTGTTTCATTGCTTTCTGGAGTAACTATTAGTGTTCCTTCACCTGCCTGACCTGCACCTTTCAGATGGATCTTATCTAGGCATCAGCTCTGAGCAAATGGGGAGAACTCTCATGCCCTTTGACCCAGGATGGGACCAGTCAGCTGCAGATCTGGATAAGCCTCCTGAGGGAACATATTTAAAGATGCTGGAATCCAGGTGATGTATGAAAAAGTCTTTACAGTGATAGTTCAGAGATGAAGCAACCTTTAAAGCTGTTAATGGGACTGACTTTCAAGTCAGTTCCCAAGAGACATAACTTAAGAGTCTTGACTCCATATATGGGGAATGGTCCATGCCCAGCATCAGGCAGTCAGAGCATCTAGCAGTTGACTTCCCAGCTATCAAGGGCAGGATTCAAAGGTTTAGCTGGTGGGTGCCCCTCTTTGCAAAGCAATATGTTTGGCTGATTTATTTTCTCCACCATTACAGCTTTATGCCAAGCAGTGAGCTGTATGAAGTGAGGACCAACACGGCTTTCTTGACCACCCACAGCACTGAACAACCTGTATCATTTTGCCCCGAGGCTATGCTGGAACCAGCCACCTGCTTTAACCCTGCTGTCCTGCAAGCCAGAGAAGCAGCAAGCAGTGCTGATGCCAACCCCCAGCTGGGTAACTTTGTCCTGTGCCCCTGTGGGTCCCTTACCTTCCCAGATGAACGGCTGGCCATGTGGCAGGCCCCTTGCAGCACCAGAGGAGTCTCTGGCTCTATGTGGACTCCAAGTATAGAAGGTTAGTAAAACTGCACCCAGATCACTGACCTTGAGTTTTCAATCTTCTCTTCCCTTTGCTGTAAGCACTCTTGCTCACTTATGTGGCTTTCCAATGTCATGGCAAATGGGAGCAGGGCTTACTTGAGCTCTGCAGTTCTGCTCCCATAGTATTTGTGAGAAAACCTATTGATTTAAGGTGTTGAAACAGACATTCTTACCTACTCGTTTGCCTAAATTGTAACTGTTTCCATAAGATAGTATTTTTCCAGCAAGCTGGATTCCTTTTAGCATTTCCACTGCAAGAGTCCCTTCAGTTGTTTGCTCACCTTGTCAGTTTGCAAGCTTCTGGGTTTTTCTCAAGAGATTGCCTGAACAGAGACTGGGAACTTCTTAACTGTGACACAGTGCACATCTTCAGCAACGCATTCTCACTTTCCCTTCTCCTTCCTCTTATTCTTTCTCTCTCCCTCTCCATTTCCTTCCTGTCTGGTCTTGTTCAGCATTCCCACCATCTCTTTTCTTCTGTTTTTAACAATAGCCTTGGCAGGATATGGAAGTGATGTCCACCTGCTTTTGTTGTAGGTCTGCAGAACAAAAACCGCTGTGACTGCCATTCACCCAGCCCTTGTGAATGTAGAGCAAGGAGAGGAGGATTAGATGGGTCAGAGGTTGGGGTCATGTTTTCTGTAACTGTCTTTAATGTGAACATTTATTTCAGCAGGTATCAGAGCTCCCTTGAGCAGAGTCCCTCAAGGTGGCTGTATTGAGGCCAGTTCAGGAAGAATCATTCAGCAGTCAGATTTAGCAGTTGAAAGCTTCATCCTTAGAGAAGGACAGCTAGGGACCCTGGAGTCTGTTCTTCCCCACAGGTAAAGGGAATGGAAAGCACAGGGCTTCTTACTTGCAGGAGTGACAATGATGCTGTGGGGTTAGCCTTGTCCTCATTCCCCTGTTGAAGAGGGTTGTAGAAAGAGTGTGGTGATACATCTTATTTCAGGGGCTTGGCTCTCCTTGTGTCCATCATGTTTTGCAGATATTTCTACCTGTGCACTGGAAATGGGAAATGCTGTGTAAGTGTGTATGTGGCTTATGGTGGTGGCACAAAGGAGATCTGAGACCAGCCTGATCAGAAAATAAATGAACCTCTCTCTTTAAAGCAAGTTTAGTTTCTAAGCTGTTTGCCTGTTTTTCTTTTTGGCAGAAAATAATAAGCTATAGTGATTCAGTGAGAGCTGATTCTGTGGGCTGGGTTGGTAGGGCCCATACTTAATCCTAAAATAGTGTTTGTAGCTTCATAACCTCATGACCAGATTATTCCATAGTGCAGGCTTTCCAAACTGGAAGACAGAAAGACAGGCACTATTCTGTCTTTCTGTTTTCCACCTGTAATAAATGTTTTATTAATAAATGCAGGTTTTCTCTGGGACTTGAGATAAATTCAGAGAATGCAAACCAGCAGCAATCCGTGCCATCTTCCATATGTTACACAACCCCCATAATGTTACATAAAAATAAACACTGCCAAACAGACATGACGAGGTTCCTTTAGTTTACTGATCTGAAAGGCACAGCAGGAGCAGTAGCTCCATTTCATAACCCTTCTGCCTTGACACTGTCCAGCATTGGTGCTAGCATGATGCTGTCAGTAATGCGTCAGAGAGGTAGGTAGAAGCAGTTTTATTCCCTTTATTCACTTTAGAGATGAGGAAGCAGAGGCACAAAGAGGTTTTGTCAAGCAGCCAGGGAAGGCAGTGATTCACTGGAGATAAAGATCAGTGGGGTTTTGCCTCCCAGTTCCCTGCTGAAATAATTTCTGCCTTTGACCTCTGTTTCCCAGTTGGCTTGGTGTTCATGTTCACGTCAGGCTCCTCGCTCTGAACTGACAATCCAGGCCAGGGCATTGTAAACCCACCTCAGTACGTGTTCTAGGATTTGCAGTTTCCAAGAGGCTACAGATCACAAAGGACCAGTGAGGTTTGCTGGCACTGCTCGGGCTGGATTTAAAATTGCATGTTCTGACTCCAGAGTGAGCTCATGTTTATTTTTAAAATCTGTTCCACCAGCAGAAGAAATCTATGGTGAATGTCTCCTTGTTGGGTTATGTCAGTGGTGCCAGGAACCTACACACCCTTTATCGTATTCCTGTCAGGGGCAGGACTTGCTGCTTCATTGACACCTTCTGGGGAGGATATAGTTATTTGAGCTCTTATTCATAAACCCTGTTTAGGGGGCTGGTCCAGCTTGAACCAGAAAGCCTTTAACTCCCCCAAACACCATGAATGCTAAGGAACATTGATCTCTTTGGTAATGAGTGGTGCCTAGGCTGCAGTTTCATTTAGGCTCTTTCACAGTTTCTCTCCAAAGAGCCAGGAGACCTCATGTGGGTAGTCTTAGGTAAGATGAAGGCTCAGTGAATGGCAGTGAATAAGGATCACCTTTGTTATCAGGCAGAGGCCTCTAACAGAGTTACTGATAAGAGAGGAAGTATTGTGTCACCAGAGTCCTCTTTAGCAATAATGTTGTAAGGAGCATCACTCATGTGGGGACTCATGCATGAGGCAACAGCTTAAATTGTAAGGCCAGTGAGTGTTGCTATCCTGGAAAGACAGGGCAGCAAAGTTACCCCCGTTTACAGGCAAGGGTAAAGCACAGAAAAGTAAATTATTTAGCCAAGGTCACCCACTGGGGGTGGACTCAGTGTTGTGCTCTCACTGCCTTGCCAACACTTCTGGGTCCATGCTTCCTAAGTGCAGGGATAGAGCTGCAAGTCAGCACAAGGACCCTTAATCTGCCTGTCTCATTTTCAAAGGTGCTCACCTGGAAAGGACTTGGCCTGAAAGCTCATTAGAACAATTCCTGATGATTTCTTTCATGGGCTTTTTACTGTTGGTCCTACACACTTGGGCTGTATCCAAGTCTCTTATGATCTACAGGGCTGTGAGGTGGGAGTGTGAGGGGGAACCAGGCTGGAAGCTGACTGTTTCCATCTGCTCCTGCTGCCTGACAGGGGAGTCTGATCCAGCAAGCGAACTGGAAGTCCCTGTGGGACATCAAACAGATGCTTGCCTTTACAGATAGTGGTGTTGTATCCTCTTCACTCCTTGAGTTGGGACAGGTGGAATGTAGTCCAGCTAATGATTCATGCAAAATATAACTCTCTCATGCTCTCCATTTCAAACAGAAAAGCACACTGAACTCTATGGAGCAAGACAGACTGCATTTATGAGCCAGCATATTGATTTAGAAAATCACTGCTGAGGTGCTCATTGCAGCTGACTGCTTCTGCCTGCATTTTTGGGATTCCAGCTCAGAGTGCTAGGAATCCTCTTGCTGTTAGGCTCTCCTCTCTGGATAACCCAGCACCCTGACACTGGCAGGCAGCAAGTTCAAAAAGCATAAAAGGAGGCTACTTTGGGGCATGTTGCATAATTAAATCACAGAACTTGTTGCTAAGGGCATTGTGCATGTAAGTGGGCTGTGAAGAGATCAGACATTCTTGGGGGGGTAAAGAGTGGGCAAGGGGTTGAGTCCATTTGTCATTAGTAAATGGCATTGCCGAAATGCAGCCTCCAGCAGAGGAGTCCCAAGACTGCCTGCTGGAACCTGTGGTGCATTCCAAGGGATGGCAACGTGACACTTACCTTGTTTCTTCTGTTTTTTCCCTATGCTCTATTAGCTGGCACCTTTTGGTCTAGGCCTGTATGGCCTTTTATACCCTCGACTATTCCTGGGAGTGGTGGGTGCATTGGTGTTGGAATTACAGATTCTTTTGAGTTGGTGATGAAGGGAGAGGACATCCCTTTGTCAAGTACCCAGTGTCTCCCACTTGACCCAGTGCCTGCAGACTGTGACCTCTTCTGGGAGGTTGGCAATGCCGCCGGGGGAGGTGTGGATGGGGAAGCCATGTCCCCAGACTGGCAGCCTTGAAAAGCTATTGCAGAATCGTAGGCAATGTTGTGGCTGTGTCTAAAGCTAAATGTTTGCCTGTTTTGACTCTTAAGGTCTGTGTTTTTAGACTACATTTCAGGAGAGAGATGTTTTGGTAGACATCTCTTTGTTTATGGGGCATTCTGGGGGCAAAAGAAGGCCATTCCTGTGTACTGCTCCTGGTCAGGCTAGTCTTCCCAGTGCAGAATCTCTATTTTCAGGCTGTAACAATTTTGAGAAATGGAGCAGTTTTACAGACAGTTTCATAGACCTTTGTTGACTGAATGGTCTTGCCAGCAGCCCCTCTTGTCCTGCTGCAAAACATTACAGTAGGTGCTGAGTTGGGCATAAATACAAATGCACTTGTATATTGTATTTTCTTGTAGTTACTGTCACTCTGTATTTGGCAAGCCTCAGTGTCCACCTGTTTCTGCACCCTGCATGGAAGAAAGCCAAGCCTTGGGACAAAGCCAGGTGAGAGAACACACCTAATGTTCAGCAAAAGCTGCTTAGACCTGTATGCACCATCTAGCTGTAGCTCTCACAAAGGAGATGTGAAATATCATATTTAGTATCAAAGGTGTTTGATCAAAGCATACCTTTTGGAATCCAGAGCAGGATGGGCATTCCCTGGGGTAGTATCCAGCAGATGCTGGAAGGAGAGGTGGTTTTGTTGGTCTTTTCACTTGAATTACTTATCAGATGCTAATTTTACTAAGTGTGTCATTGAAATGATGGCTAAAGCAGCCTGTACAGATCCAAAGTGCTGTTTGTGTTTTGATCAATGGAGAGCTCAAGCTAGCTCTGTGAAAAGAAGACAATAGGAAGATAGCTGCTTGAAGGCCCTCTGCTCTGCAGGGTTCTGCAGAATTTGACTCTGCTCTCTCAGCCCTCTTAAAGTCTTTCATGTAATTTCCATTTCTAAGACTGTGGTTGATGAGGAAAAGGGATTTTGCACTGTTCCGAGATGGCTGATAGCAGTGTACGGAGCAGGACATTATAGGATGTGATAAATTACTTCCAGGATCTGGATGCGGCCTGCATGCCTTCTCATGGTGATTTTAAAGCAGCAGAGAATAGAAGTTAGAAATCTGGTGCCTTCAAGGGGATGAGAGCACATCTCTCAATTAAAAGTCTTTAAAATAGGACCCAAGAAAGCCCTATCTAAACTGTACCTTGAGCTATTTTTTGGCCTCATGAGTGTTGGTCTCCCAGTCTGTTAGCATCCATTTCTGTCTCTCTTGCATTGTGAGCTGCTTAAAAGGACTTTCAAAAGCAGGGGACCAATATCTGCTGGCCTCATTACAGGAAGTGGCTGCAGCTCTGAGGGCAGTAACAGAACCTCTTTCGAGCCTTTGAAAGCATCAATATAAAGATCTGTATCTTGGAGAGTGGCCTTTTTACCAGCCATAATGTGAGCCAGATGAGTAGGAAAGCTTTGGGTATTAATAATGAATGAGCCTTTTCTGAGATTTCCAGAGCATGCAGTCTCTGTAGCTAGTTTTCATCTTGCTACTTTGCATTCCTGCACTGATTCTGCAATGGTATAAAAACATGACACTCAGTGCATTACGGGCTGGGGAGCAAAACACCCTGTGATGCCTGCAGATGTTGAAAGGGGACATCTTTGGGTCTTTTTGAGGAATTCAGAAAAGCAATTTTTCTGTGTTTTAATGTGTGCTGCAGGAAAAGGCAGGGCTTAAGTGGGTAAGTGATTTTGCAGCATTCTACAGACTTCCCAGGCCCTCTGTGTCTTGCTAAATCAGCTTGCCCTGAGCTTGTTGGAGGAATATGCAGGTATTTGGTTCCTATGTCTGAACCACAGGGGTGCAGATGTACTCTTCCTTTTGTCCACGCATGACTTGCAATTTGGTTTCATAGGTGATGCATCCCATCAGAGCCAATATGAGAATAAAACAAAAAAAGCAATTTGGATCTGTTTCTTTCCCTCCCTGAACACAGCTCCCTTGTTCAGGTGACCACTCCCTTATTTCATCCTGGTCTTACTCTCTGTCAGTTACTTGCTTTTATAGGAGCCAGTGTCTTGGGCAAATGGAAGGGAATTGCTCTTCCCTGCATTACTGAGAGTTGATTTGTGCACTGATTGTGCTCGTCGTCTTTATAACCATCTCCTGTACAGATGGATTACTCTATCTGATCTCAGAGGGGAACAGAGACTTTGTTGCTTCATGTATGCAGCCCTCACCACTCATGTTCCCTCTCTTCTGCCTGAAGCAGCTTTTCTACCCTGAGCAATGGCATCACCATCGTTAAGAATCACGCTTGGTGAAGCTTTGATTCCTTTTTGTGTCTTTCAGGTCTTGCAGGATCCGGTTGGCAACCCAGTAACCAACGACACGTTCTGGGCAGCGTGGCTGCTCTTCGAATTCTCAGGCAGTGGACGAATGTGACCCTCCTGCAGAGATGTTCAGTGTGGTGTGCACTTCCCTAGGAAACACCCCATCCTTTCCTGGGTGTTCCTTTCCCCATACTGTTTTTGGTATGAATGAGGGGTTTGGCATGGAGATGAATAGACAGTGAGGTAGAAAGATGATGAAGGTCTGTTGTAACGGTTGCAAAGTTTGGTTTTGTTACAGTTTGGTTAAGAGTTTTGCAAAGAATAGAAGACACAAAAGGTGCATTGTTGACTGCAGGTTTTGACTAGAGCAGGCTAAAGCTGCCCTGCAGATGCAAAAAATATCAAGTCACTGGTTCTGTGGCAGTTAAGTATTTCTACCCATAGCACTGGTCAGATCAGAGTCGTTCATTACATGATGAAGGTAAATGAAGCTCCTGTACTCAGAAAGAGTAAAATTCAGTTTTACTGCCTGGCAGTGGATATTGGGTAACTTTTTCTCAGGCCTGGAAAGTAAAGTATCAGCTTAGGGCTGGTAAAATACTGCTGTTTCTCATCCTTGCATCTCTGGTACTGCTGGATGTAACTGCTGGAGTGTTCAGTACTCCAGAGTGCCACAGGTAACACAGACTGGCAGAAGATCAGTGCTGAAGTCAATGTTCTTGCAGTAGGGGGAGGGCCTACCAGTGTTGTCAGTGTTTAATGCAACCTGTATCTCAGATTGCCCAGGAAAGAAGGATAAATGTAGGAGGTAGGAGCTGCTGAACTCCTGATCCATTGTCAGTCCCCACATCCCGATGGACACAAATTGCCAGGGCTGTTCTGTGACCCTCAGGTGGTCTCTGGCACCAGGCAGTGGCCATCGTGTTCAGACAAGGGCCCTGCAATGCAGCATGAGTTGTGCAGGCTCAAGTTTCCTACACACTGTAGTAAGTGTGGGGCTAATGCTGTGTAGGCTGGAGGCTGCTTACTTGGCGGGGGTGAGCTGTTCAACTGCAGCTCTCCCGGGGAGTGTATGCTGCTCTGTTCCTGTTTCCCAGCTCCTTTCCTTACTTAACCCAGCCTCAAGGCACCTGTTACACTCCTTCACCTCACGCTGCTCACGGAGCAGGAGCCCTGTTTTCCTTCCTTTCTCTTGAAGGCTATAAAGCAGGATTGTGTGCGAGAGCGTTAGGACATGAAGCAGCACAGCAGACCCTTGATGCAGTTTAATGCTGCAAGTCACTGGGCTGTCTTTGGGCTGTTTTCCCTAAGTGTTACTGCTGGGTTTTAAATCTGTAGTGGAAAAGGGGCGATCTTTACTGAAACTCCAGCCCTGAGCTACACAAAGCGGATGCTTCCAGTACCTGTTGTAATAACGTTAGCAAATAAAGGTTTTGAATGACTGCTTCTCCAGGCTGCATTTTTCAAGGCGAGGGTGTGAAGTGGTAATTCCCACACGGTATTTTAATTATATATTAAAACCCCAGCACCGGCTGCCTGGGCTCCACTTGCGTGCTTTGAGGCCCTGACACTTGCTTTACTGCGGTGGCTCACCGGCAGTGCCGTGTTCTTGCTGCGGGAGGGGCTGTGTTAGGAACCGCGGTGCTAGGCAGGGTTGTTATGCACACGTTTACGTCTGTTTCCTTCAGCAGAGCGGCCTCGGCTGAACCCAGCCTCCTGCACGGGGAGCAGCGGGGCCGGCTGACCGCGGGGGCCGCTCCCCGCTGCGCATCCACCGCTCCGCGCTCGCCGCCATGGCGGCCTCGCTCCGCCTTCCTGCTTCCTCCCCATTGGTCCGCCGCGGCGGTAGCAACAGCGACAAATATATCCTGCCGCCCGCTGATTGGCTGCCGCCCGCCGTCGAGCCATAGCAACAGCGGTGCGGGGGAGCGGCGCCTCAGAGGGGACCGTTGGCGGCCCGCGTGAGGCGAGGGGGCGGGCCCGCGAGCGCCTCGCCTGAGGGAGCGGCGGGGCTGAGAGGGGCAGGGCTCTGCCCGCCGCTCCCGACCGGTACCGCGGCCCCAGCTACGCCGTGTGACACCCGTTTACCGTGGTGGGCCAGAGCTGCATCTTCCCTGCGGCCCGTAGTACAAGGAGAACCAGACCCTGCCTTGCGCCAAGTCAAGCAGCTTTCATGCAGAAGCAGCAGCCCCCCAGCAAAATTCACGCTGGATCTTGACAGATTTTTAGTGTGAGATCCACAAAAAAGGTACTTAATTTTTCACCCCTAACGATGTGACGTATCACTCGGATTACTGTGATTCAGCTGGTCACTGCTATGCAATACGTGCGGATTACATTGCCCTGTTGTTAAGGACTGATGCATTGGAGTAAAGAGGAATTACATCTCTCTTAAAATGAGATGTATTTTCAGTTTCCTTCAAATACTTAGTGCTGTTCCCTGATAAGGAAGATAAAGGTGAGAGCAACACAAAATGCATGGAAATTTTAGGTAGACATCCTTCAAAATTAAACATTATTTCCTCAGAAAACAACTCACATTAGGGAACCCAGGTATTTGGTTTTGGCAGTGACTGACCCTTGCCGTGTGTCTTAACAGTACCCGAAGTCCTAAGGCTTTGTGATTTCTTTTTTTTTTTTCCATACTTGTTTTGACCTTTTGAAGAGGCTGAATTTACCACAACTCCGAAGTCAGGAGTGCTAGATTGACAAAGTTTCTTTCCCAAACTTAAATCTGAAAAAGGCTTTGCACCTAAAGCAGAATTAAAGCTGCTTCTTTTACACTTAATGAATTTAATTTCTGAATTTGGCACAGCTGCTCTCTGGAGGACAGCTGAATTTTCTAGGTCATTTCCCAGATGAAATAACTTACTTCTTTTCTGGAAATGTATGTTAGGTGATTCAAAGATTGATATGTGAAAGCCAGAATATTAAACCCAGGGCAGCCATTTCCAGAGAAGCTGTGGCTGTCCCACCCCTGGCAGTGCTCAAGGCCAGGCTGGACACAGGGGCTTGGAACTGCATGAGCTTTAAGGTCCTTCCAACCCAAACTGTTAATGTGATTTTTATCACAAGATCTCTTTGAGTGATGTAAAGTCAAGTGGTTGCAATACAGTATGTTTTGGCCAGCTAGCATCTTTGCTTCATGCCACCTGGATATCCAATCTGCACAAAACACTTCTGAGCGCTAATGGCATCTGGACAAGAATTTGTGAGCTGTGCCTACAGGTGATGGTGAGTTACAGGTAGCTGAGCGGAGTTCAGAGGTAGGCTGTTGCTTGCCCACCTACGAGTTGGAACAGACAGGGATGCATAGCCATGCAGCAGAGAAAGAGTTCAAGTGGACCTCTGCTGAATGCCAGTGATGCTTAGGATTTGGCCTTCTCTGCCTGTGCTGCTGGGTGGAGTTAGTCTATGAAGACAGTGTAGCGGAGTTGTTTATATTGTATTCACATTGGGCTAGCATTTGAATTGTTCAGTTTGTGTCTTACCTTGTTCTTGTTTCCTAGGTGTGATTTGCATCCCCATCATGTTCTGGTGTCCCTGCCCTACCATATGTAGCAAGCTCTGGGTGTGTTTATGTTGCTCTTCCTTGAAGCTGTATTTAGAAGCACTCTGAGCACGTGGCTGACCTGACCTGAGCTGAATGTGCTCTGCCTGCTGTTGTCGAATTGACAATGTCCTCCTCAACATGGCATGGCCTATCAAAGGAAGGAGCTTGCCCTACATAGAAAAAAATCAAAATCATTTTTATCTTAAAATGTCCAAAGAACAACGCTTATATGTGTGAATTGATCACAGAAAGGGGATGGAAATCTAGGAGCACTTTCAGCAGTTCTATTACTTGGCTGTCCCAGAGGTGAGAAGGACGCTTTCCCAATAGGCAGGCATCTGAACTTTTCAGCACTGCTGCCTAGAGGCGGCTTTCCTCTTGGCATTTTGACAGACAGCCCTAAGACTGGCAAGGTCAGAGACTGAGCTGTTCTAGCCTATCAGTAGTAAGAAGTGTGTTGTAGAAATGGCTGAACTAATCCACTGCAGCGCTAGAGAGGATTAATGGCATGAGAAACAGTTTCCCTGCTCTAAGTCCCCTTGGTGATTCCACTGGCTATCACAGAACTAATGGGCACATCTGAGAACCGCTCAGGACAAAGGTTAGGAGATCCATCTTCAAGGCCAGTATTTTCAGGCAGTCTCCTGTTCTGGATGCTTGGCTCAACTTGCTTGGGGCCTCATTTTCAAAGGAAATAAGCACTTACACAGCAACTCAAGTAGGGCACCCAGAGTAAGAGGCCGCTTTTGAAACTGTTGGTAGAGGCATTTTGTTTTATCTCTGTACTTCATTAGTCTTATCCCCAAAGTCTTTCATGTCATGTTCTACAGTGAAAGGTCATTGTTTCAGATCAATCATCTTCAGTGGGATTTAATTCAGTTCTAAGCCAAATTAATCCACTTTAGTAAAGTTTGAAGAGCAGTAAAAATTCACTTGTTAAGACAGGCCTGGCTGCTGATGCTGAGTCCTTAATTGTGTTTGCCGAGCATGAGGCGTCTTTGGGTTGGTTCTGGAAATGGCGGACATCTGAATTCTGATCTGGCTTGGGTTTATTTTTTATTTTGTTGTTGGGTTTTTTTAGCATTTTCTTAGCATAGGTTGTGGTTTTTTCCTCTTTCATGGAGAGCTTTTTTCAACATGGTGCAATGGTGACAGCTTCTGAGAAACAAGCTTTTCCCTGTTTTCCTGTTTATGCTTGTGAATTCTAGTTACTTTACTTCCGTTATATAAATAATAAATCCACATTCTTCTATCTGGCCAGGACTAGCACGTGCTGTGGTCTGAGGCAGCTTATTAAGAGTTAAAGCTGCTTCCAGTTAGCTACTGTGTTCTTGCCACTTAAAGAACCCCCACAACTGAGCATGCTTCACAGCCTCCTGTGTGTATCCCTGAATCATTCTGGCAAGTAAAATCACTGCCATGATCTTTTATTCTGACATAGTGCTGCTTCTTCTCTGGTCTCTGAAATGAGCAAACACTTGAAAATGGCACATTTTGCCAGAGAGTTCTGAGGATTTATCAACTCGGATCTGCACAGGATTTTGAACATAGAAAAGACTACTGTGTGTGAATGCTGAGTGGTGTTAGGAATACTGCAGTGATTCCAGAGAGGTTTCAGTATAGAGACCTAACCTTTCCCAAGAGCCAGCAAGAGCTTCACTGGTTTCGTACCAATCATTGCCCTTTTGTTTTAAACATCTTCCCATGTTAGTGAAAGATAAACAATGTGCTTTACCACAACTCACAGCATGAACCCTACTGCTTTCGAGCAGTGCCTGGGTAAAGTCATCTTTCTACCTTCATTCTAGGTTTTTCCTTTGAGTTATGAGGGAGTTTCTGTGAGGATGATTCAAGATTAACATGAAATTGAAATATGACAAATGGCAGAATATTTTCACACACTGTGACAACCTAGAGGGTTCTGTTGCTTGTTAAACTGTGGTATATGGTTTGGCTAGAAATACATCATTGAAATGATAGTCCCTTGTGGTTTAGGAAAGAATCCTCACACTTTCAGCTACACCCACTCCTATCGTGCTCTGATCTTGTCACCGGTTACACCTTTCCTCCCTGATGCGCAGTTACCTCACTTTACTGGAGGATGTGCTGCCAGAGTTCTAACAATAAAAATCATAGGTAGTCCTAAGCCTGTGAAAAAATCTGACCTTACAGTGCTGCCTGGGCGTTCTGCCTCATGTAAGTGCCAGTCACAGTATTTCCAAGATCAGATGCCCACAAACTCTCTGTCTCTGCCATACTCATGTCTCTTTTGCTGTGATGTAGAAG